TCCACATTCTAACAGTTCTATCATCATTAGATTTTTTTCAGATTTAGAAAAAAAAATTGAACCACCAACATCAATTTTTTTTTATTTCTCTTGGATCAAATTGCTGATGGTTTTTGTTGTTGTTGTTGTTGTATTAGGTTGTAGTTGAAACGATATGATGATGATGATGATGAAAAAAGGCAAATTAATAACCATAATGTATTTTATAGATTATTTTTTTTGTTTCTTTTACTTTTATCGATTGCTTAGAAGAATTTTTTTCCGTTAAGATCTATGTGTGTGTGTGTGTGTGAGCACAATCATTTATTATTCGTCATCATCATCATCATCATCATTGGAATCCGGAATCATATAGACTGATTGTGTGTGTGTGTGTGTGTGTGTGGGTTTTGTTTCTTAAAATACACACATTGAATTCTCGTTTTCGTTGTATATATATTCTGTTTGTATATACATCGTACATTATATAATTCTATAGTTTATTATTAAAGTTAAATATATGTGCGTATTGTGTATGATGATTAAGCTTAATCAAACATTTGGAATCGAATCGGTTTGGTGTGCTTTTTTTTATTTCGTTTCGTTTCATTGGATGGTTTGTGCTGTTTTTCATTTTTTTGAGCATGTTCCATTTTATTTAATCATCGATATGGTGGAAACAAAATGCCATCAATAATCGATATATACGCCAACAAGGAATGGTGCGCGTACATTTTATTTATAAAAATGGAGATTGTGTGTAACAAATGTGGGTGGTGGTGGTGGTGATGGTGGAGGGGGTTGAACGGATCCTCAAAATATCTAATGGAATAAATATTGGCCCGTTTTTTTATCCTAGAATTATAAATCGAAAACTAAAACTAAAAAAAAAGATGAAAGGAAAAAGGGGAAAAAATAAAACGAAACTTTTAGTCATATTCGTATCGTTTCAAATTCGAATAGATTTGGTACCATAATTTCTATGATTTCATTATGTGTGTGTGTGACACATGTGTGGCATACAGGCCATCATCAGTCATTCGAAATCCTTCACGATATATTTTTCATTTTTATTTTCTGGTTATTGTTGTTGTTGTCGTCGTTGTTGTTGTTGTTATAGTTTCATTATGACAAACAATCAATGATAAAATGGATTTCAAACAGGAAAAGAATACGAGTTTGAAATACTGATTATTATATGATAATAATTAAAAAAAAAATTCCATTTGTTTAATGATGATGATGATGATGATAATGATCATTTATAATCAATATATCAGATAATAATAATGATGATGATGATGATGATCATAATTATTCTTAATGGATATGAATTCTGAATGAATTTCATTTTCCAGATTGTAATGATATTTATTATTATTTCATTTCATTTCAAACAAATCGAATACGATAATGAATTCGATTTTTGTTCGATTTATAACAACAAAATTAGATAGATGATGATGGAATATAGTGAAATGTGGAGAAGAAGAATTTGTATGTCATAGAATTCAAAATTCAAAATTCCGATCCACTCGATTCTCCATGATGATGAGGAACTCGAATTTCAATCGTTTTTTTTTCTATCTATTTAGTTTCGTTCGATAATTCGAGTAAAACTTTGATAATGATAATATTGATTATATGGCGAACAGTTCAATAGGCCAATTAATTGGCTATATCGTCATCATCATCATCATATTGAATTGTCACAAGATTCTCTTTTGATTATTAGCAACAACAACAACAACAACAACACACACACAAATGATTGGTTGGATATCAAAATGATGTCAAGATATATGGATTTATAGCAACAAAAAAAAAAAAAATGATTTGAAAATAAATTTAAAAAATTTCAATTTGATACAATGTAATGGCTGGAAAAAGAAAATGCAAAATGAGTCAATCAATGATGAAAAAATTGTTACAAACAAAAAATTCTTTGAAATCGAACCAAAACAGCAAACAAACGAAAAAAAAACAGTCATCATTATCAAATTCTAGATACAAAATAATAATGATGGTTTCTGTAAAATGAAAAATAAAAAAAAAAATTTTTTTTTGTTTTCAAAAACGGCCATTATATTTTTTTTTTTTTGGATCGTTCCAAAAAAAATGTAATTTTTTTTCTGTGATTTTTTTTTTTTTTTTTTGTTTTCTCTTCATTCACTGCTATACAAACAAGCAGCAATTTTCGTTTATCACCATCATCATCAATGTTGATGACGACGAGGCAATTTGGACCCAATTGTTTTGTGTTGTTTGTTGGAACAAAACAAAACAAAACAACATCCAACCAATTCAATTCGAAATGAGAAGAAAGAAAAAAAATTTTCTTTCTATTTCTAGTTTTAATGTGAAATGAAAAGAAAATAACAATGATGAAGCGATAGAATGAGAGAAGAAAGAAAAAAAAACAATTTAAATTAATGTTTGACCATTTTCATTGTTTTTTATTTTGTTTCATTCATTTTATCTATATGAGACTCATATAAACAAAAAAAAAAAAAGATATTAATGCAATTGGATTTGATTAGAAAAAATGGCAAATGATTGAGATTGAGATTGTGAAGAAAAAGAGAAAAATTTATTTTTGGAATCCAAACAACAAACAACAAATGAAAATTGTTTCAAAAAAAAAAATTAATAACAAAGTAATTTTGTTGCTACTATGGTTTATCATCATCATCATCATGATCATCATGGATGATGATCATGATCATCATGATTGTTCACATTAAGGTTACAAATTATCCATCTATCTATGCGTTTTTTATTTCTTCCTGATAAATGTTCCATGTTCCATGTGGTTCATCGTTGGACCATATATATAGAATGAAACGTTTACGTTTGTTTTGTTTCGTTTTTCTCTCTCTCTGGTTGCATTATAATGTGTTAACATTCACACTAATACCATTCTATATCATATCCTGCCACATTGAATTCACTACTACGATGATGATGACCACCTAATCAAAAGAATCAAAACAAAATGCCATAAAAAAATGGCAATTATCATGATGAAAATTATGTGATTATGTAATTTGATTAAATTTCAATGCAATGAATTACTGATGTTCACGACCTCCATCCAGTGATTTATGTATTGAAAAAAATCATCATCATCTATTTTGTTATTCCATTGATGATTATGAATATTGAAAATATTATTAAATATACAATGAAAAGAATAAATTACAGAATCGAATCAAATCAACAATAAAAAATGTTAAAAATTGAATGAAAATTCAAAGCAAAGCAAAGCAAAAAAAAATGCAATAAAATGATTCTTTGAAAATTTTGCTTGTCATTGGAAACATTCATTTATTCATTCATTCATTCTATTGTGTATTCACATGAACCAAATTCTATAGAATTCTCTCGCAAGATACATATTTGAATCAAAATAATTTGCAATAATAATAATTTGCAAAAAAAAAAAAAATGAATGATCATGATGCGTGAATATCACTGACAAAAAAAAAAAAAATAAAAAAATAAAAACAGCAAACAACACGCAACGATAAAAACCATGGCACAAAAAAAAAAAAAAAATGGCAACCCATGTGATGTTCATTTTCAATTTCATTTCATTGCTTTACAACTATTAGATGATGATGATGATGATCATTCATTATTTTTATTATTATTACAATAAATGATAATGATGATGATAACGATTCTTGTAGTAGCAGTAGCATTAGTAGTAGTAGCAACATCTAATAATAACAATGTTCCAAATAATGAACAAAATGGATGAATAAACCGAGCAAACAACAACAGAATTCATGAATTTAATTTTAAATCATCCAAAAATAATTCATAATGGTCTACACACACACACACACCGTATATAGAATGTACCCAAATGAAATAAAAAAACATGAAAAGTTGAAATTCAAATAACAGTATTTGATGATATTCAAAACATTTATCGTAATAATCATAATCATAATCGTCGTAATAATAAATGGTCATGTTTGAAATTTTTTATCGTTTACTGCCCTCATAAAACCACTACCACCCCCCCATTGAATGAATCCACAGAATGATGATGATGATGGAATAAGCAAAAAAAAGATAAAATGACAATACGTCATTCGGTTGTCAGGGGCGAAACACTAAAAAAAAACGAATGATGATCATTCACCATATTTCGATTCGTGAATTTGATCAGACATGGATGGACATTCAGAGATAGCAATGAAAAAGTTTCGAAATAAAATAATGATGAATATGAAAGAAAAAAAAAATCATCATCATCGAATGCATCCAACATGCATGCATGTATGAACATTGAAATTCTTTGTATATGAATCCATTTTGATCATCACATCTCTGGGAGTGTGATCCAAAAAGAATTTATGGGCCTGTCATTTATTTGTTTAAATTATTATTATTATTTCGAATCATTCATTCGTTTTTTGTTGTTGTTGTTGTTTATGAAAACAATGTGAATGATTTTTAATGATTTATATGTGTTTTTATATTTGGATGAATTTGTTTGAAAATTCTTGGCTTCATTGCCTATCAATTTTTGTTGCTTGTTCAGCATTATTCATATATCAAAATTTTGAGCAATAATAGCCAAGAATCAAATTATAATCATCATCATTATCACAATCATAAATGATATGTCATTTTCGATGGTAGAATTTTAATTAACTTGATGTCTTGTGTTTTTTTGCTGCAAGAATTTAATGGTTGTTTCATATTGTTTTCAGTCATTGAAAATTTTGTCAATGTCAATAGTGAGTTTTGATGATGTCCAATTGATAAAACATTTGAATTTTTATCAAAATTTTCGAGAATCGGAATAAAACCCGTTCCTCCTACAACAAGTAGTGGTGGGTTTCCCATATAAATAATGCTAATGCCATAGACTAGTTATTCTTATTGTTTTTTTCTTCATGGTCGATGACAATGAAAATGGCTGCAAGTATATATTTTTGATCACTTTCGCTCTTTTGGCTTCGCTCTTTTTGACTTATAGTAAATGCTTTTAATAATTACGTGTCGCCTCTGTGGCCTAATGGATAAGGTTTCGGTCTCCTATAAACAAACTATTCATTTCACTGTTTTGTTAAGTAAACCGGAGATTGCGGGTTCGAGTCCCGCCAGAGGCCGCCATTTTTTTGTATTTCCGTCATTTTCATTCATTTAGTTTCATTTAGTTTGATTTAGTTTAATTTTATTTTAAAAAATGGAGAGCATAGCGCCATCTACAGTTAACGAATCTAAACACAATAATTATTGATATTTTTTTTGTTACAATTTTTGGTTTATAAATTCTGGCTTTTTTTCTGGTCAAAAGCAAATGTTTTTTTGTACTTCCTTTATTTATTCATTCAGTTTAATTTTATTTTAAAAAAATGGGCAGCATAGCGCCATCTACAGTTAACGAATCTAAACACAATAATAGATATTTTTGTTATACAATTATATTGGTTTATATATCACAGGTGCCCTCCCAAAAAATTAAATTAAAGTTTTTGGAATAGATCACATTAAAGAAAACGCGCATACATCAATAGAACGGTTGCGGGTTAAAATAGCCAAATTGAAAATATCTGTTTTCAGTTTTGGCTGTTTTCTGCCTTGGATATTTTCTGCCTTGGCTATTTTAACCCACAATCTTTTCTGCCTTGGCTATTTTCAATTTGGCTATTTCAACCCACAATCCAATAGAACAAGACATACACAAAGACAAAGTACATACATGTTCCGATACTCGACTTGCGAACAAATTCAAGTAACAAACTTGCTTGTGGAGCGCAATTGCATCATCGTCCTGATACCAACTCGTACCTTTTCGTTTTAGTTGTATTGTCGTTTGAATCGATACTATTCAAGATGCAACAACAAGAATTGCAACGACAATTCCATATTCAACAACAAGAATTACAACAACAATTCGACATTCAACTACAACAACAACACCGGCGCTACCAACGACCATATCGAAACCGACGCCAGCAAAGTCGACCATATCAAAATCGGCACCATTAGACGAAAAATAAACAACGGTGGTCGGTTTTGAATAATTTTCGTTGTCTTTATTAGAATTAGATTAATGCATGACGACAATTGTAAAAATACAAGAACAAATCAATACAATGATGCTGAGCCAACCACTCAAAGATGATGCTAAAATCCTTTATAAGGCTCGAATGACAATCATAAAAGGCGCGCAAAACGCATGCACAATGGGAACAATTTACATGATGTTGATGATGACTATTTAAAAACAATGACACATTGAACGATTAATCCTTGCTGTGGCAGTGGTCGCTTTTTTTTGTCCACCATCAACAGCAGCATTAGCGACGTCGAGATGATTTGATCAACAACCTAATCGACAGACCAAATTGTTAAAAGATTGTGTAAAATAACGTCATATCTGAATATCAATTAGAATTGTACTCGAACAACGTGTTGTTGTTTCATGATTTTTGTAGTTGTATTATTATTGAAAATATAAAATATTCTTTTTCATGATTAATAAATAAAACCATTTAAAAACGTAAATTTTTGTCTCTGATCTTCAACACAAATGCACCGGATCCTGGACTGCGGCTTCGCACCAGCAACAAGAATCGCTTCTTATACTAAATCTTGTTTGTCATTTCCAGCGGTGTTTCACAGTTAATTACCGTTTCTCGATCCATGGAGTTTAATGATGACTTAATCAAATTTTTGCGGCTATTGATGCCGATTTTTTGTTGCTTGGATAAACCATCCTTTGGCTTGTAATCGAATTTTGGGTCGATGTAATCCTCGCACTCCATAGCGATTAGACACTCTTTGATCGATTCGTACCAGTGGCACCTTATCCAAAGATAGAAATTGGACATTTTTTGGATTTAGTTGTGTCATTGTCGATTAACAGATCAAAGATAAGAAGCATGAAGACAGAAGCACAATTTTATAAATATCGGACACAAAGTTTCAGTACGTAGCATGAAAACTGCTCAGACCCATAACCTGTTGGAAATGTTTAATTTAATGTTTATTGATTAAGCCAAAAGAAAAAATAAGTATGCAGAAACAATAATAAAGGAAGAAAATGAATCAGATGATAAGATGATGATTGTGTCTTGTGTAGAACAAAATAAAAGACCAACGTTGTCATGTGTGTAAATGTGCTGTTTTTATATGTGTGACAGACAAGAAATGATTGTTGAATGAATCACGTTCAAGTCTATTTTAACAGTACGCGGTGGTTGCGGCACGGTTTCCTTAATTCTGTGCCATATATCAATTTTTATTCGGAGTCAACACCGATCCATTCACATCCACAATGGGGCGAGAATTGATGATGCGAAGTTTCTCAATGCCTTCAGTACTTTTGATGCTGATGCATTTTCCACAGGTTCAAGATGTAGGTAATTTTTTTGGCAACTGGAAATGCGGTCTGGTATGGACCTAACTGAAGAAAATTTGCCATTTTGGATTCAACTTTTTCCTGATCGGTTATTTGTATCTCATTTTGAGCTAGGTTGTCACACACAACTTTCGAAAGTGTAACATCGATTTTGGTTGTTTCACCATTTTCATTATCAATTGTTATGCCGTTTTTTTCAAGCAGCTTCATTTCATCAACGAATGGTTTCAATATTTGGTTCATTGCTTCAAATATCCGAGTACTTGGTCTCTTAACCATCAAAAATAAATATATGTTATCGCGTTTTGTTTGTTTTTTCAATGGTAGATTAGTGCATGATATGTAACCGGCTAAGAATTTCTTTCCATTTTTTCCAATAAAAGAAAAATCATCAAGGGAAATTTCAACTCGCAATTTTCCTTTTAATCTTCGAAACATGCTTTAATAAGTCGTGTCCAACTCATTCCGGATAACCATATTTTTTCGATTCTGTTCGGGAATAAAATTCAATGATTTTTCTTTTTCGATTGAATCAATCAACGAGGGATGTTGATTGATTATGGATTTCAAAATTCCTTCAACTGAAAAATATTGGATAGAAAGTTGGTCGTCAGAAGTAGTTATCTAAATAGATTAGATTCAAAAATTTAAAAAAAATGATTAAATTAATCAAACTCTATACCTGGGTAGGTTGTACATAAGAGTCTTGCAATTCCAAAAAGTTGTTTTGCAAATAACAACTGGAGCAATACCGTGCCATAATATTTCTAATATTCTCAGAATATTCGAAAGCTTTTACAAAATTATTAGCAATAACCGTTCCCAGTTCTTCCACATGTGAATTTGGAATCGATTTTTTTAGACGTACTTCCGACATTTCCACAATGAATTGTTTCAAAAAATCTCTTTCGTCTAAATCAAATATAAAAATATGAATCTAATTTGTAAATACTCACTAATACCTTTGTTTAATGGTGATACAGTTGAAGACCAAAATGAATTTAAGCTTGGTTCTCGTCTCAAAGACTTTTCGAAGACTTGTTCAAGTTGATCATACTCATCATTGTTATCATCATCGTCGTTATCATCGTTGTCGTTACCATCATCATCTGATTCATTTTTAGGATCATATGGATCCACATCCATTGGAATCTCACTTTCATGTCTCGAAGTTTGTCCATGATCTTGATCAAATGGAATTTCTGAAACTATGGGTTCAGCCGGACCTGCTAATTTCGCTATATCTTGTTGAGAACCACCAGCGATCTGTTTAGAACTGGATCTTCTTTGGCTGGGTTCATTCAATTCATTTAATTCAAGGTTTCGATATTCAGATTGATTTTACTTACATTAGTTTATCACAATAACCACTATGATAAGTATATTCAAGTGAATGATCAAGCTTGATAATAACGAAAATTTTGTACAGAATGTACAGAACCTGCTTGTTCGAGTTGTGGCAAAAACTACCATTATTCAAAAAAAAAAATAATGCAAGATAAGGTTAGTAAAAATATAGTGATGATAATTGTTAACCAGCCCAGTACAGGTGCTTCGCGCCAGTCCCAAGCTGGCCCTGACGGTCAATATAGCTGGATACTCGCAATAATAGTTGTTGTTCCAAATGATGATGATGGTGAAATGAAATGAAATGAAATAAAATGTTTCGAATTCAAATTCGAATTCGAAATCAAAAATGATTTCATCATCATACTCATCATATACTCATCATCATACTCATCATCATACTCATCATATACTCATCATATACTCATCAAATCAAATACTCATACATACTCATATACATGCACAATCTCTGGATAACAATTTAACCGAGATAAAGAGTAGATTTACGAAAAATCTTTTTGATATTGCTCTTTCTTTTAGCGAGCAAGACTTGAAGTGTTGAAATAGAAAACATTAATAGAACAAACTTTTTATTCTAATATTTGAACTTTTATGATTATTATTACATTGAAAACATATATAAATGATTGTATTGAATGACCTTACTATAACACACAATATTTTAAAATAAATTACTCGTTTTCGTTTTCGTTATAAAAGAAATTTAAACGAAGTAAGTATAAATGAATGATATTCTAAATCTAAACTAATTGATTAATTTTCAAAATTGCCAGAATTATTCGTGCAATTTTTTCGTTCATCGCACGAATAGCTTTATAGTTGACAACTATAATTTTCCAACATTTCCATCAAACATTAGCAGATGGATTGAACTAGATGTGGATTCCATATCGAATTTTCAAAGTAATGAAATTACTCTTTTCAAATTAATTAACGATGATTTAGTTGGAGAGACCAAATTATTTCGATATTATGTCCAGGAAATTAATCCTGACAAATTGACACCAAAGTATCAAACAGTGGCGAAAATTTTTTGGCCTAAATCATTAATCATCAATATATTTTAAATCATTTTTATCACTCACCGATTGAAGGCTTTTATCTCACAATCTTCATGAATATTGATGTTTGATGAGCTAAAGAAGATCTGGAATGTTCTGAATCAAGAATTTTCCAAATAGTGATGAGTAATAGAATATAAATTTATAGAAAAATAGAGCACACCAAGCATTAGCTCACGAGAACGGTCGTCATAAATGACGTTACACGACACTGAACATTGGATTGAAGCGATAAATGGATTTTTACAAGAAGTTATTAACCAATTTGGCTTTGAGTTATGCTGCAACATTCAAATTAAATACTCGTCAAATTGATATACGAATATCTTTTCTCAATGTACCATTATCCGAATCATCCGAATATGTTGCACCACCCACCAGGATTTTTTCATGATGGACTGTTAAAATTGAACAAGCTTGTTCGACGTATTGAAATGAAAAAAGTTTGAAAGCCAAAATCGCTAATTTCAAAGAATTTTCAATAGCACTGGATGAAAGCACTGATATTTCAGACACAGCGCAATTAGCCATATTCATTCGAGGTATTGATGAAAATTTTAACATAACAGAAGAATTACTATCTCTCCACCCTATGAAAGGGATCACAACCGGAGAAGAAATATTCAACTCTGTCGATCTAATTTTCAAAAAATCAATTGGAATTTATTGACAGGGATATGCACCGACGGTGCGCCAGCAATGATCGGAACCCAGAAAGGGTTCAATGGGAATGTTAACAAAAAAAATTGGTCCAAAAAAGCTGACCAACTTACATTGTATTATCCATCAACAAAATTTATGTGCGAAATCGGTCAAGTTAACAAATTCAGAAACATCGTCAATTCAGAAATTATTTGGCTGAATTATTTTCCGATTATGACGATGTTACATATTAATGTGAAGTCAGATGGTTGTCAAAAGCGAAAATGCTTAAGCGTTTTTACGATTTAAAAAAAGAAATTTTTGACTTCACAAGAGACAAAGGAATAATCATCGCACAGCTTAATGATCCAGGTTGGATAGTATTTGTTCCAACGTAATGGCTCGCTTATCACCAATGTGCATGAAGATCAATTTTATGTAACAGTACACCTACCAACGATCGTTCTTCTGATGCTAGATTTGCACTTGATAAGGTGTTTCGTATCAATATAGCGATTTCGACTAATGCTTCCCAATCACGTTCTGATGGTCGTAACGAAAAGATTTTTAATTGTTGTTATAACAAACTTGGCATCATTAATAGATGATTCTGGCAAATTGCTTGTAATTAGATTTTTCCAAATTTTTGATTTCGATCCAAAATGGCGGTGAAGGAATGAAGATGACATTCAATATAGTTCGGTAGACTTTAATAAAAGAAAAGGAAAAATAATTGTTATGGGTAATAGAATTTTATATTTGTAATAAACAAGACCACATTTTAAATTTTATAACATCATATTTTGTTTTAGGTACAGAGGCAGAAGTTATTCAAAAAAAAATCCTTATGTCGAGCTGACGAAAATCATAAATTCGAAGAAATGCAAGCAAGTGGAAGAACTGAATCAAAAATGTCAAGAACTAACAAGAAGAATCGATTACTTGACAAATAGTCATGGCATAAATGCCAACGTATGAATTTTTATACTTTATTTTGCAAAACTAACTAAGTTTATTTTTTAGAATATAATCAAAATCGGGAAAAACAGAATCGCTGTACATTCCAGTGATTTGGCATCATCTATGATGCCAAATGATGATATTAAAGGCATATGGTATCTCTGCAAAACTATATGTTAAAAATTTATTAAAAAATTACACAATGAAAAAATCAAAAAAGAAGGAAAAAAATCATCAATATGAATTATCACATTTTTTTGGCATTTTTTGTTTGTTTTTTTTTTTGATTTTTGATTTTCAATTTTTGAATTTTAATTTTTGATTTATGATTAATGATAATAATTAACTTTATTTTTTAAAATAAAATGATTAAAATATGAACCAGATAAGCAGCGGATATGCAGAAAATGAGAATGATTTCGGAAATTTATTTCATTCAGGTGAAAAGTTCCCTGTAAATTGTGATCACGTGATGGGCTGCAATGGTTCTATTTTTCTGCTTAAAGCGCGCTTAAGATCTTCCATTTTCGTTTAAAATCGATCGATTGATCAGATTGTAAGCCTGCTCTATAGAACCAAAATATCACATTTGTAGCCCAGAAATTTTTCCGTGGGAACTCTTTTCTTGGGGCTAAAAATATCTGATGCTTCACAAAAACACATCCAGGGGGTAATTGCGAATGTGGAGACCAATAACTTGTTTTTTGTGCACCCTTTTTTCAATCTTATAAAAGGAAGAGGTCAGCGCGTACGCTAAACCTCGCTACCAAAAATTACTTGGGCCATCTGATCCATTTTGGATCAGTGACGGGCTTCATCACGTGCTGAAGTGCAATGGCACAGACTCCACCCGGGGCTGGAATTGCTTGAAATGCCACACCCCCAACAGGTAAGTATACCAGATATGGTCAATGGATGTATATATGAACACACCAAAGCCCAATTATTCTGGTGGTTTTTTCCACTTAACTTGCTACTTATTCTAATGAAGGTACTCGAATAAAGAAGAAAAAGATGAAAATAAAATATCTGATGCTTTATTTATTTATTTATTAATTTAGAATAAAACACACGGCCATGATGGCATTTGTGTTATAAAGGAACAAACAAAAGAAAATGTAATACAGTAATCAAATTAGTAATTGGATACTACGTATTCCTTGCAGATATTATTAAACAACGTAAAATTATGTTTGTTGATCATAAATTCCCATGGATTAATTAAATTGTGATGGATTTGCCGGTGGATCGAGCAGTCAAACAGGATATGATTAGGGTCTTGGTAGCTGTGACCGCATTCACAAGCGGGAGTTGGTTTAACATTAATTCGGTGAAGGTAGCTCATGAAATGACCATGACCTGTAATAAACTGTACGTTGTAGAAATTAGGCTTGAAGAATTTTGGGATTTGCGATGTGGGAAAGTAGCTTTTGAAATTGTCGTTTACATCGTTGAAATAATTTTTAATAATTTGTTTCTTCCGAATAGCCATAATAATTTTCCTAACAACCTTGTCTTGAATCTTGTACGTAATTAGAGAAGAATCAATGTAATCAGTTAATTTTTCGACGTTGTTGAGAATACAGACAATATTGCATGAAACCGTTTGATATGCATAAATTGATTTTAATAAAATATGATGCTGAATTGAGTTAAGCTTATTTTTTGTTTTGACAATTAGTTTATCACCCAAAATTTGATAACCATACGTGATAGCAGACGATCTTTGATTTGATTTACGACGATCTTTGATTCCTAATATTCCTCTGTTTTGTGAAACACGTTAGTCGGCAAAGTATAAAAGTATCAGAATATTTTCTGAGAACTTTTTGGTAATTGTCCAAGAGCTAGAAAAGCTTACAGAGGACAGTGCGAACAAAAAAACAATGGTCAAGGCTCATTTGCTGTTCACTGCTATCACAACTCCAACTTACATTTTGACGCTTTTAGTAATTGCTACTTATTCGGCTAAACTCGAATCTGTGTGCAATCAGTTGCAGCAAGTAAATATGAACATTAAAGATGTAACTGCTCATATAATTCAATTAACAGATGTGCTGCAATCCCATCGAGACAATGTTTCTGAAGAGTTTTCATTGATTTTCAAAAAAGAACAATCGATTTGTGAAGAATTAGACATTGAATTAAAACAGCCACGGTTAAATAAAAGGCAAGTTCACAGATCGAATTTACCTTCTGAAAACGCAGAAGAATATTTTAGGAGATCCATTTTCATCCCTTATTTGGATTCTATAATATCTTCTCTACAAATTCGGTATTCTTCTACACAAGAGAAAGCATTTTCACTTTTACAACTTCACCCAAAAGAAATGAGTAAATTGGACAAGTCATCGTTTTTAACAGTTCTGGAAGACATTAACAGTCTGTATGGTGATATTCTTCCAAACTTTATACCCGACGCTACCACATGGTATGAGATGTGGAAAAATAAAAACATTGCGAACGAAATTACCGATTGCATGAGTTTAATTGAAGAGGCTACGAAGTTTTATCCGGCTGTTTCCGAGGCATTCAAGATTGGCATGACACTTTCTGCAACAACTTGCAGTATTGAAAGATCTTTTAGCACATAACGGCGCGTCAAAACTTGGAACCGATCTACAATGAGTGACGATAGACTAAGTGGATTATGTATGCTTAGTGTACACAAAAAAAGAATAAATAATTGTCCAAATTTTATCGACAAAGTTGTAGACAAGTTTGGACAACAAAAAAGAAGGCTTGAGTTGCTCTTTTAGAAAATAAGTTGTAAAATGTAAATGTCTAATTGTAATTTAAAAATTTAAAATTCAAACTATTTTTTCGCGTTTTTTCTTATTATTGAAAGATTTATTTTTTTTCTCCATTTTCTTTTTTTCAAAAGCTAGGGGGTGCACATGCACCTACTTGCACCCCCTGTCGGCGCCCATGCCACCAGTGGGTAATTTGTCAATAATGACTTGTTTTTTGTGCACCCTTTTTTCAATTTTATAAAAGGAAGAGGTCAGCGCGTACGCTAAACCTCGCTACCAAAAATTACTTGGGCCATCTGATCCATTTTGGATCAGTGACGGGCTTCATCACGTGCCGAAGTGCAATGGCACAGACTCCACCCGGGGCTGGAATTGCTTGAAATGCCACACCCCCCAACAGGTAAGTATGGGGGCCAATGTGGGTTAAAACTCGTATATATGCTTCACAAGTTCCGGTTAAATTTACAGTTTTCTGGGTCTTGTGAGTGCATTTTGAGTGAATTTCAGAAATTTTCCCTTAAAAATTTTCTAATAACAACAATAGCAATTTTCATCAATTTAGTCAAAACAACTGCGCAAAATTAATTTTTGAATATGAAATTCAGCATTTACACCCTGCATGTACTTGCATTGTGTATTAACAAATTTTGGATTTGTGCAGTAAAGCCCGCGATTGTTAAAACAGTTGTTTAAATTCAACCGTTGGAAAGCGACATCTGTCAACACTGAATAAAAGTTTTGGCCACAAGTCGATTTTCAAAATAGTTTAATCATTTAATTTGTTTCAATTAAAAATCGATATAAGGTCAATAATAAACTATATATCAATCACTGTCACTTTGGGACTCTTCGATCAATTCTCCTCTTTCAAATGAATATTTTAGGAAAAATTTACACATTAAATATGTGCCTAATATTTTTTTCCTGTAAATTCATGGTCAACTGTCGTGAAAGATTGTCGGAAAGTGGATTGGTGAGATTGCTTACACCGATTGTCTCTACGATTAAAGCTTCACTCACGGTTTTATTCTGGGAAATTCTCATTTGCTGCTTTGTAAATAAACATCAACAATAACGTTTTGGAAAAAAATTAACACAAATATTTATCAGAAATGATCCATTTGTTTATCGATTTAGTCATTGACATCTGGTCAAAACTTGTTGGTTATATGTCATTTGTAATAATGGTTTTATTCTGGAAAAACTTGCTGTATATGCGATTTTCCTATAAATTAAACTGCATCATTGTATTTTTCATCGAATCAAATTTTCTTTACTACTAAATCATAAAACTTCAACATTCATCTATCTCGAACCAAAAATTTTTAGTGATCAACACTATTGTACTGTCAATAATTTTCTTGTTTGTTTCTGAAATTCTTAGTGAATCATGGCATTACGACATATTAACACGATCATATTTTGGTCCATCATCCTATTTAGTATGAATAATGTTTGTCAATCCGATCGTCTTGGGTATCCAGTCATCTGGAAAAAGTCCAGTCATCATGTGGCCACACAAGTCGTTCAGGCCGATGTTAAAATAAAACTAGAAAATCCATGCAAAATAATCGACAAGTTAAGCTTCAATAAAACGGAAGCGGTTCATTTTCTAAACGAATACAATCGAAAACAATGCTTCCAAAGATATATACAACAAATCATCCGACCATTGAGACATTTTTGTCCAACAAAAATGACAGATGAATTTGGTCATGGAATTCAAAAACGTGGAATTGTTAGTTTCGTCTACAAAACGGTAAAATTGGAGATCAGGCTGACAGCAACCATTGGCCTAGTCAGTTACTTCCACGATCCTAATGACCAAATGTCCTGGCAACGAAACGACCTGGCATATAAGGAAATAGAAAACCAAATAAATAAGAAATTTCTAAAAGTCCTCACCAAGATGCACCAAGAAAATATGGAAATGAAACATCGACTCCAGGAAATTACGGTCATGAATACAATAACGAGAAGGTTCACCGAAGTGGGGAATACCATTGTTGTAACTTTGTATTTGAACAGTCTTCTTTGTATTGTATGGTTTTGTGATGTTTGACTTTTATTTGAACTAAAAATAAAATTATTCTATTTTGTGCTGTCATTCAATAAGCACGTGTCTATTAATTTTACATTGGTAGTGGAACGGAATTTAGAAAAATGATGGTACACGATGTGATTGAAACAAGAATTATTTATTGCAAGAAAAAGTGGAAAAAAGAAACGTGGTTTTTGTGCTCGTGTATGTGTGTTGGATTGTGTGTCGAAGGTGAGTGAAGAACGTTGTGTGTGTTGAAGTGTGTCTTGGACTGTGTGTGTGTGTGTCCTCGAGTTGGTGTTCAGCTCGGGAGTTTCAATTTTTCGCGCGAGAGAAGAGCGCGGTTTAGTCGTTACATTCATAAAGAGCGTAACGTGATATTTTGGCTGCATACGCTCCCCTCCTCCAGAGGAAAGATGTCGCGATTACATCTGGTGATCTTATCATTACCGATCTGTATTCGATATGTTCGTATAATCCCACGGTTATCTGGAATCGTTTCGACTACTTCTCCGACTGGCCATTTTTCGCGATTTCGGTAATGATCTCTAACTAGTACGCGATCGCCAATTTTCACCTGTTCGTACTTCGATGAATTTCGTTGAAATTGCTTCAATTGTTTCAGGTACAGATCACGCCATACTTTCCATGCAGCGTTTACATTTCTTTGTTTGCTTCTCCATTCGGTCAATAGATCCATTTTCACATCCGATTTAGACGGTGGTTGTGGTGGTTTACGTATTTCGGTACCATAGATCAGTTTGTTTGGGGTTAATATTGAACCGTTTATGTCCGCGATTGGACGAGAGTTGACAATAGCGGAAATTTCATATAGGGTCGTTCGAAAATTTTCAGAGTCTAAATCTTTTTTCCAAACAATTGACTTCATAGCTCTCTTTGTGGTCTTAATCAATGATTCCCAAATTCCGCCACGATGAGGACTATATGGTGTAATAAAATGCCACTCCAATTTAATTTGATCCAAGCATTGATTGAGCAGCTTTCCCAGTTTCTTGAAATTTGTTCCATTGTCTGAGAATATTTCCGATGGGCAATTTCTCAAGGCCGCAAAATTTCTTAAGGCTTTGAGCACCTCTGACGCGGATGCATTATCAACTGGCTCTAAATGTATAGCCCTGGTTACGAAACATGTGAACAATAGTCCATACAATTTATTCGGATGACGGACCTCGAACATGTCCACGCCGGTGGTATTAAACGGCACGCTCCGGGTGACTCGACTAGCAGGCGGAATTCCGTCTGGTACCGTTAATGGTTTGGCCCGGTTTATACGACAAATGTTACATCGGCTAATCACTTTTTTCGCCTTTTGTCGAAGTTTTGGCGTATAATAAGTTTCCCGGAACTCAGTCATAGTTCTGTATTCGGATCCGTGACCAACCTTCTCGTGTATTTCAAACAATAGTGATAACAAAAAACAACAATTCGGTATAAAGATTGGATTTTTACAATCATAATCGAGATCCGAGTTGTCTAGTCGTGTGATACACCGTATTACGCCAAATTGGTCGACGAACGTATTCGGAAAATGATCTAAATCGCTGAGAAACTTTTGCTGATTTAGTTTGATCAATACAGTTAATGGATCATCATTTTCATTGTTTATATGTTGTTGGATTAACTGTATCCATTCATTGTATGAAAGCGACTGATTGACGTCAATGTTGATTGTCAAAGGATTTTCAATTTTAATGGTGAGAGATGAAAATTGATGAGATTTGTCATAAATTTCTTGAAGTATTTGTCGATCGAGATTATGTACGTCGCTAAGCTGTTCCGATGATATTCCACGAGTAAGGGTGTCGCTTGGATTTTGAACTCCTGCTATCCAGTGAATGGCGTCAATTTTAGCTCGTATGTTATAGAGATGAATAGCAACACATTGTGGAAATTTGTTTATATCAGTAGATAATCGATCAACGTTTGCTTTGGAATCAGACACTAGAATGGTTTTGTTGATTGTGATCATTGATTTCAATGCGTCAGCCAGATTCGCTCCAGCTGATAAAGCCAATAGTTCACCAGTGACTATTTTTCGTGGCTTCAGCATTTTTGATTTTCCAAAGATGTATTTTGCTTCAACGCCGTTGCTCAAATATACGGCCACGCCGATAGCTTTGTTACTTGAATCGCAGAAAATTATTAAATCATATTCGGTTGATATCATGTTGAATAGTTTTCTCGGTAGTTGGAAATTTTTCAATTTGTGTAAGTCGATCAAAATTTTGTTTGCTCTTCGATGGAGTTGTGGAGACAACAAATCGTCCCACTCTATTTTTCTCTCCCATAATTCGCTGATGAAAAATTTTAATTTGATCGATGATGGTAGAATTAGACCCATAGGATCGTAGATCGAGGCCAATGTTGTAAGTAGTGATCTCTTTGTGATATCACTCGAAAATTGGATGATTGGAAACGAGATTTGTACGGTGTCTTCTTTTTTATTCCAAATCATTCCAAGCACTTTATCTTCACCTAAACCATCTGACCAAGATTTGTCAATGCCGGGATGTGAACATTGCCACTTTCGAAGTTCCATTGATGCTTCTTTGAAAATAGTGGAACTGATGGAATGAAATTCGACCGCTTCATCTTCATTGTTTACTGAATGTACCAAATCGTCAACGTATAAATTTGAATGGATGGCTGATACAATTGCGGGAAATTTATCTTTGTATTTTCCTATGTGATGATTTATGACTACGTTTAAGACGAATGGTGATGATGTCAATCCGAATGGTAGCCGTAAGAATTTGTAACAAAGTATTTTTTCTTTTTCTTTATCATGCCACAAAAATTTGACATATTTCTGATGGTCGGATTGAATGCAAATGTTGTGGAATGCTGCTTTGATATCAGCTACAATGGCAATTTGTTTTAGACGAAATTGAAGCAATGATCTTGGTAAACACCATGTTGTGACTCCTTTGAATATTGCTTGATTTAAATTATTGTTGCCATTTGATGCATTGAAAACCAATCGTTTTTTCGTTGTCGTTTTTTCAGAACTTCCTTTTCGGCATACCACGGAATGAGGCATGTGATAGCCTTCGTTAGCTTGAATGTCGCATGATTCTACAATTTTGTTGTTTTCTAATTCTTTGATCAAATTGTTGTAATCTTTGTATTCAATTTCAGATAGCGATGATGTTTTGGAGATCAATAAACGTTTGGCATTATTGAAGTTTGGATTGATCACATGGTTGTCGATAAATGGGAACTTGATTCGATATACGCGATTTTCACTATCATACATGATGTTCTTTTTTACAAAATTGTCAATGAATTGCCGCATTGCATGTAGATCTTCCGGATTGATCATCAAATCGATTGGCGGGTCGTGATTCTCGGTTAGACATGCGACAATGTTAGAACGATGATTGCCAGATTGCCCGTGTACGATATATCCCAAAGATGTTTTTCCGACAATCAAAGAATTATTGTATTGCTGGTCTGCGACAAGAATTTTGAGACGGTTTTTGTCGTTGTTCCCAAATAAGATGTCAACTTGAATATCTTCATCGTTGAAATTGATCTTAAGCATTTCATTGATATGGTTGCGAACAGCAAGAGGGATGACATCGAATTTGAATTGTGTGACAGTGTCGTCAACTATCAGCTTGAATTCGTTCATGACTCCATCTCGATCTGGTATGCTGAGGATGGTGTAGTAATGTCCGATGTAACGACCTCGTTGTCCACCATATCCATTAACACGTATTGGTTCGTTTTTGAATTTTGGAAGATTCAATTTATTTACCAAAATATTGGAGATGAACGAAATTTCTGAACCACTATCAAAGATGACTCGGGTTTTGATGTTGTTGATGTTTGTGGTTAACGTTTGCAAATATTGCGATACGCCTCCAGAATTGGCTAACGCCGAAATGACTGATGCATCGTTTGAAATTGATGATGATGTGCATGGTTGCTCTTCAGATGCGATCAGTGTTTTTGGAATGGTTTGATTCGAAGGTTGTCGATTTGAATGTTGATTCGATGGTTGTTGGTTTGAAGATTGATTCGAAGGTTGTTGGTTGTTGCTTGCTGAATCTCGACATAGGTAAGATTGATGATTACCGCTGCACTTGTTGCATTTTAAATGTTTGATACATTCACGGGTGCCATGGCCTTTGCCAGCGCAACGATAGCAGCGTTTTTCTCTGTTCAGTACAAGGATTTTCTCGTTATATGGTACGGGACATTGAATGTGGTAATGATATTGATCGCAAAAAATGCACTTTGGTTTATTGTTAGATGAGCTATCACTGTTAGTCGATGTCAGCAACGATTTCTTTTGCTCAGTTTGACGGTTATTTTTGTAATTGAATTTGTAATCGTTACTTTGCTGATACCGATTGAATCCAACGTTGGCCACTTGATTTATGAGTAAGTCTGTTGCAGTGATTGTACTGAAGTAATTTTCTAGATGATCAAGTGTGATGGTATGCGGTGAAACAGATGAGTTCAGATTCTGGAATGCGCGTCGACGGTTGTCAAGATCCATTTTTCCCAATATATGACCAATGATCGTGCGACTATCGCCCTCGTTTAACCTGATACCTTTGATGATAACCATCATTTCATGGTACTTTGTATAGATTGATGATGGTGAATCGAAACGAAGGAACGGTAATGAATGAATCTTTTGAGTCAACTCTTTCAACACTAATGCCGGCGATCCATAAAACGTGTCCAGAATATTCAAGATTTGTTGAAAATTTGGATTTGAATTTTGACCACGGATTCTAGCCTGCGCTTGTATTGGGAGTACATTCATAAGACGACGGAATTTTGAACTTTGACTCGGTATTTCAACATTGTTTATGACCAACTCCAAGATTGCGTTTTTGAAATCTGGCCAATTCTCCGCTGTTCCGTCAAATTTTGGTATTTCTTCAGCCTTGACTTTTATTCTCGAGTTGTTGTTTGGATACACATGATTTGGATTGTTGTATGGATAAGCATGATTTGGATTGTTGTTTGGATGAACATGATATGGATTGTTGTTTGGATGAACATGATATGGATTGTTGTTTGTTATTTGACTCTGATGTTGCTGATATGGATCGTAAGCATTATTCATTATTGCTGGTTCAGGTTGTTGATGATGATCATGATAATTGCTGTGTACTTGATGTGAATGTGGATTTGAAAGACGAAGAAGAGGTGATACAGGAGCGTTTAAGTGTAGTTGACCATGTTCTTGACTTGAAAAGGTATTGATGATTGGTCCATTGTCACCGCCAAATCCATTGTAAATTGGAGCATTGAATGATGGGTGCATGTCAGTTGTGCGACTTACTGCATCAAAGGGAATATCTTGAATGATCGGTGAATTGCTACGACTCACATCTGGTACTTCTTGTCGACGTTCATTGACAGGTGTTGTATTAATAGATCCCAATGGATTGTGTGTACCGATATCGACCGCATTCAATTTTGCTTGAAGTTCGTACAACAATGAAATTGTCCCAGGCAATTCTTCCACCAGTTTGTTTAATCCATCAATAGCTATTTGACATTGGTTTTTGATTTGAATTGATGAAATTCCTTGCAATAACCTTGTTTCCACTTTGATATAATTGCACGATTTGATGATTAGATTGATTTTTCCTCATGGTCACTGTCGTCTTCATAGCCCAGATTTTCCAAGTCTGACATGGTTTCTTCGTAATCGGATTGTAATGTTGGAAACATATTCTAGCGATGGGATACGACCATATAAGCTCAATTGTTTGTACGTTTTGGTTATAGCTGATCGCAATGATTTTCTTTGCGAAAGCAAGTTGCTCAACTCGTCGGAACTCATGATGGATTGTTGGAATGAAAGAAAGATACTTGATGATGAAACTCAGAAGTTATGATGATGATGATTGCTCGAAGATGATGAAATGACTTGATTTAACTCGTTGATGTTGAGAATCACTCGATTGAAATTGTTGCTCGTTGATGAAAGAGAATCACTCGTTTAGATTACTTGCTTGATGATGATAGAGAATCACTCGATTAAGACTGTTGCTCGACGATGAAAAGACTCGGTGATGAAAGAAAATGACTCGGTTGAAAGAAGATGATTCGGTTAAGAAAGCTCGCTCGGTATTGATGATATTTCCGATCACCAACTCAGTCTCATAATCGTTTGGAACGGAATTTAGAAAAATGATGGTACACGATGTGATTGAAACAAGAATTATTTATTGCAAGAAAAAGTGGAAAAAAGAAACGTGGTTTTTGTGCTCGTGTATGTGTGTTGGATTGTGTGTGTCGAAGGTGAGTGAAGAACGCTGTTGTGTGTGTTGAAGTGTGTCTTGGACTGTGTGTGTGTGTGTCCTCGAGTTGGTGTTCAGCTCGGGAGTTTCAATTTTTCGCGCGAGAGAAGAGCGCGGTTTAGTCGTTACATTCATAAAGAGCGTAACGTGATATTTTGGCTGCAGTAGCGAGCGTTTTCATTTTCTTTCTTTTTTTTGGTTTTTTTTTTTTTTGTTTCAAATGTCAAATTCTTCTGATTCATCAAATTCATCTTCAGCTGGTACTGCTGGTTCTGTTGGTAAAATGGCCGATGTTCAACATTGGAATTCTGATCCTGGTGTACATTTCAAAATGGTACCTAAATATAATGGTCAAAATTTTGCAGAGTGGAAGTCTGAAATTGTGATGTATTGATGGCTCTCGAGTTACAAAATTTGTCAAGTCAGAATTGACCGAAACTGATTCAAATTATGAAAATTATTTGAAAATTGGTGGATATATGCGTTTAACGTTTGATTTCAAATTCAAGAAGTCAATTGAAAAATATCGGACACCATTTCAAATTTATGAATACATGACCAAAATGTGAAGATTCCTATCTCGAAAAGATGAGAATTTTGGAAGAAATTATGAAACTCGAATATGTTTCTGGCAATGTGCAAGGTTTCATTAATCTGTTTGAAGGAAAAATTGATGAAACAAATGTTGCAACCAGACAATGAACATCTAGCCATGCAGTTGAAAGATTTGTTCCATAATATATTATTGGGACCAGAGGCACCGGAAGAGTATTGGTCATTGGAAGGATGTATATTGAAAGAAGACATAATGACCAATTCCGATGAACTTGTCCTATCTATAAATGGCATCAAAATGGACCCAGATTTCAATCTTTTACGAGCCGATCCGTTCTGTATTATTCGGGAGGAAAAGACCAACGCAATGCTTAAGCCAAAAACGGAAATATGCATCTCAGAATACGTGGGGCCACAATAGATTGTCTTTAATCAGAAAACCAAATGCTTCCGAGAAATTCCTTACAACCCTATAGGAGATCATCAAACACTATTACTATTCCATTCGGAATTGTGCAAAACTCCAATAAAAACTGCGAATGTAAAATGGAGACAAGTAAAATGTGAAAGTCTAGAAACATTGATACATGAAGAAGTGGTGCAATTGAAATGGGACCATGACTTTGTCTACTATTATTGTTTTTCCCAGAATCTGACAATTGGAGAGCATCCAACACCATGCCTAAACCAGATTTATAAACAAAAGCAGGGAACTAACATCTCCATAAACGGACAAACCGTCCTGGTACAAAGCTTCCGTTTGGGAACACTATCGATGTTAGAAACTGATGTTTCGGATTATGTAAACGAAAAAGTGTTTGACCCAGATAGATCAGACATCTGCCTCAAGAATTTAGAAACACTGATAGATGTTGAACACGAGCTGCTATCAAAGATTGCTGCCTCATATATCTCTAAGACAATGTCATACTTCATGACAGCTGGGGGGATCATCCTAGTCATCTTGGTGGTTTCGTATATTGCATATATCATCTATCGGTACAAAAAAATCAAGAAACATCGGGCACGAGAATATAGAGAAACTACTAGACGACTGGATGGACAAAAAGAATATCGTGCAACATTCGATATGGTATGTTATTGATTTGTTTCATTCAGTTTGAATAACAAGTTTTAATCATTCGTCATAATTTTTTTTTTTTTGGACAGGTCAAATATGATTGCCAACGATCTAGTAAATAATACAGAATCCAAAACAATTTTCCTGTCATGTATGGGATTTTAACAACTAAAAATAAATTAAATTCTAAATAATGCTAATTTAGATTGAATAAAAATCAAATTATTATTGAAATATTATTTAATGATTAATTCTACTACTTTACGTGATTTTCTCACCAAAAAACCACCAAAAAAAATCGACCAAGATAGCTGTTCCGTTTCCTGAACACGTCGTGTACACGCCATACACACACACAGGAAAATGAGTTATGAAATAGTTTGACTAAAAGTCAAGCTATTTTTCATTTGATACTAGGTCCAACACTATTTCATGACTATTCAAAATCGAAAAATAGCTTGACTTTTTATCAAGAAATAAGTTAATGATGACTAACCCAATCATCAAATATTTTGACTAATCAAGTCATAAAATGTTTAGAAATTTTAATATTAATAACATTATGAATATTTCTATGTAAGAAATAGCTATACGATATACATGTGATGTCCTAAAATAAACATTGATTTAATTTAATTTAATTTTTTTTGTATTGGCAGTGCAGCAAAAAAAAACGTGGCCATGAGTCATGAACTTATTTTCAGGGCCGATGAAAATTTTCCACTCATCCACCACTTTCGATCAAACCGATTGGCAGTTGGACGGTTGGAAAAATCATATAAAAGTCCATGCCACAATAGCAATCACCACCTAGAATCATTTTTGCTGGCTGGCCGTTTTAATTTACCACCATCATCATCACCACAAACATTTTGTTTTTATTTTTCAAACACCTGTATTTTCATTTTTAAAATATTAAATTTTCTTGTTATATTTTTAAATCTGTGTTGTGTGAATACACCTGTGTGTATGTTAACTTCGTCCAAACCGTCACGCAATTGTTGATCATTTCTTTTCTGTCGTCACTAATTTGTCAATTGTGTTTATAATTCGAGTGTTTTTCATCATCGACAACGGCAAGATCACCGATTGAAAGTATCGATTTTGAGTTATTTCAAGATGATCTCGAAAACATCGATCAAGAATTACCCAATCAGTTGTTTCAATTTTCAGTTTTTTTACTTTCGAAGAAATTTACTTTGAAAACAATTTTTATTGATGACCAAAGAAGCTACATATGCATATAGTGAAGAAATATGCTCATGGTTATCGTTGAAACATACTATACATATCTACGTATGTTACATACTGGTAAAATTCATATTAATCGTCAAAACATAGCCGAACTTATTGATCTGGCCAATTGTTATGGTGATGAAAGGTTGATGAAATATTGTGAAACATACGACAAGATCATTTGCTATTCTCTCTCTATCGCAACTATATCGCATTTGTCAATATTGTGTCTTTAATTCGAGTGTTTTCGTTCATCGATAATGGCAAGATCACCAACTGATAATATTGATATTGAGTTATTTCAAGATAATCTCGAATACATTGATCAAGAATTTCTTCAATCAATTGCTCAGATTTTCAGCTTTACTTACGAAGACGAAAAACAATTTTTATTGATGATCAAGATGATTGCTTGTGGACAGTATCATTCATTAATGTTGCAACAAGATGGTCATGTTTTCGCTATGGGTGATAATTGTTGTGATAAAATAACTGGTAATGAAACATCATCATATGAAAGTATGATCAATACTGGTATTGAGAATGTTAAACTTATTGCTTGCGGTCAATTTCATAGTATTGTTGTGACTAATTCCAGTGAAATTTATTCCTGGGGCGATAATTTTTTTGGCCAACTAGGCCTTGGTGATCAAAATGACCGAAACACACCATGTCTTGTTACATTTCCAAATGATGATTCGGTCGATACAAGAATCAAAGATATTGTGGCCGGCTCGAAGCATTCATTATTCTTGCTTGAAAATGGTCAGCTTTGGGGATGTGGCTCTAATTATGATGGTGAACTTGGTCTTGGTTATGATATTGGCCCAACAAAGTTGACAAAACTACCGTTTGAAAATGTGCAACAAATCGCATGTTCAAAAGACCATAACTTGTCATTGGCACATGATGGATTAAATTATTATGCATGGGGTAAAACCATGAATGGCACTTGGTCATCACCTAGAAAATTGTATGATCAACATTCATCATTTGCTTCTGCATCAGCTCTGTTATTGGAATCACAAACCACATTTGGCCTAACATCCGTCACTAATCTATTTGAATCTAATTATACATCAACCATTCAATCAAATTGTCAATTATTCAATAATCCAAACTATTATGATGTAGAATTCATTATTGAGAAGAAACCTATAAAAGTGTCTAAATGTTATTTGAAATCCGTATCCAAATTTTATGGCGATAAGTTTTCGAATGATTGGGAAGAAGAGAATCAGGTATCGATTGATGTGATTTTAGCTATGATACATACTATGAATATCTACGTATGTTACATACGGGTGAAATTAATATTAATCATCAAAACAACCGAATTTATTTCTATGGCCTATTTTCATAGCGATGAAAAATTCATCAAACAATGTCAAACATTCATACGAAAGGATCCAAATGAACAAACAATAAACAAATATCATCCATTAATTAAAAAATATCAAATTAAAAAATTGTACGGCAAACTTGCTCATCTTTGCATCGAAAAAATGTTACACTTTTCAAAAAATTCTTCCCAAACCCGAAAATTCCAAAATTTATAAAACCCAACTTTTACACTACACAATTTTTCACAGGCCATGGACACTTTCAACAATATCTATACAGAATACAACGTTCAAACACAAACACATGTACATTTTCAATTTTCGATCAACAACAACAATTGTTTCAACAGATGTGAATCATTGATTCAGTTCTTGTAAAAAAATACATGCATGATCTAATGCGAAAATCCTGTTTGTTTCATTGAAAGATTTTTCCATCAAATTGATAATGGTTTCCAATGAGTTTAATTAATCGTAATCACTTCAATTGCGACAATTTTAATTTGATTCCGAGAATATTTTATCCACGTTTTTCGTCAGTCGCTATTTTTCGGCTATCGCTATTTTAAGTCATCGCTATTTTTTTTTCGCTGTTGTTGGTCGAAACCATTTCAAGAATATCCAAAAACCATTGACAATGATGACATCTAACGGCAGAGAAACAAGCTTTAAAATTTTCAAAATTTTGAAGAATGATAATTAATTGCATCGAAAAAATTTATTATGAATATTGAGACAATGGGCAATCGTATTTGGAAATTCTTGTAGCAGATCAATCAACGTTGATGTTGTCTACTGCTGTTGTTTGATTTATGAGAGGTAGAGAGAGAGAGAAAGAAAAATTGGCAATGGAATCTTTTTTTTCCATACAAAAGTAAATGTGTTTTCTTTCTGTAATTAACTACTACATTTGTGTGTATTGCCTTGGCATGGAATCAATAAACGATCATTGTTCATGACAGCTTCAAATTATTATTATTATTAAGAATATCATTTGGCAATTGTTAATTGTGATGAAAAATTTTTGATGTATCGTTCATATTGAAATTGTTAACGAATAAATGATGAACATATGAATATGAATAGCCACTTGTTGTCTGACGAATTTTTTTTTCTCGTATTTCTGCTCAAAAACAATCCGGTTTTTTTTAAGCATGATGTGAGTTGAAAATAATTTACGAATCTTCACCGGAAATTTACCTATGTAATTTTTAAATTAATTAAATTTTTCACATTTAGGTAGGTTGTCATGCACACCAACATTAATTTACTTATTATATTGATGATTACATCTTTTGAAAATCATTTATTCATTTTCATTGCATTACTAATTACATATACCTAAATAATGATCATGATGATGATGATGATTGTTGGATTTTTTTTATTTTCCATTGGTTAAAAAAGTCTGTTTTCTATATTACATAGCCAGTGGTATATATTGATTGCATCAATAATACACACACACACACACATACACACAAACACTCACGCAAATTCGTTGTCAAACATTCGAAGTAAACATTATCATCATCATCATCATGTGAAATGATTAAATGAAAATCAAATAACAACAACAACAACATCAACGATAATAACAGAAATATACACAAACACACACCTGAACTAAAATTGTTGCTGTTCGGAAATTGATGGATTGGTTTGTATTTATTACCTTGACTTTGATTTTCTCTCTCTCTCTCTCTCTCTCTCTCTCTCTCTCTCTCTCTCTCTCTCTCTCTCTCTCTCTCTCTCTCTCTCTCTCTCTCTCTCTCTCTCTCTCTCTCTCTCTCTCTCTCCTCTCTCTCTCTCTCTCTCTCTCTCTCTCTCTCTCTCTCTCTCTCTCTCTCTCTCTCTCTCTCTCTCTCTCTCTCTCTCTCTCTCTCTCTCTCTCTCTCTCTCTCTCTCTCTCTCTCTCTCTCTCTCTCTCTCTCTCTCTCTCTCTCTCTCACTTATTCCATCATCCATCACATCATCACCATCACATTTACCATTGTCCATTTTGTTTTCAAATCAATGAATAAAAACGTTTTCTTTTCATTTTTATTATTATTTCATTGTCAAGTTGCATGGCAAAAAAAAAAAAAAAAACAACATGAGACTGCACACACACGCACATACAACAAATACAAACACGAAAACATATTGAATAAACTTGAGAGAAATTTTTCATTTTGAAAAAAAAAATTATATTTATGATGAAACCTAATATATCGATGATTGTAATGATCATGATCATCATTTTTATGATTGTATTGAATTGGATGGTACATCATACTATACACACATTTGCTTCGTTTTTTTCTGTTTATTTTTACAACTACAACTACCATCACAATAATATTACTATTCATTCATTCATTCATTCTGAAATCAACCATTTTTTTTCTCGTGTGTTCTCTCCAATAATTTCAATGACACCATCAACATTACAATCATCATCATCATTTACGTATATATACCATTGATGGTGATGATGATGATGTATGTTGATTATCAATGGCAATGTTCAGTCAATAAATCGATGATGATGATGATGATTTGCTAAATGAACAGAATGAAAAATAAAAATAAAAATAAAAAACGCGGGGAATCCATTTGGGATCTTGTCCTCTTACTTTCAATCATTCATTCATTCATTCATACACTCACTTTTAATGTATTCATGAACAAACTTGATGATGATGATCATCTTCATCCTCGTGATCATCATTTACGCTATTGCTGTCATTTTTTTTGTTTCTTCCTTCTTTTCTTAATTGTGATTCAGTTTAATTCATTCAAATAAATTTTGTTGTTGCTGTTGTTGTTGGCCGTTATAGATCGAATCGAATCAATCAACAATATATATGGTTATTGTTGTAGTTGTTGTTTTGTTATAAATGAAAAAATTTTTTCTTCTTCTTTTGTCAATATTCAGCCAATTCAGTGTTTCAGTGTGTGTGTGTGTGTGTGTGTACAGTACTATACCATGACCATTTGAAACTAATGATGAACAGCACTATCAATAATAATTTTTTTTTCAACTGATATGAACATTGAAAACGTCATTCAATTTTGATCATCATCATCATCATCGATTGGTTAGATTTCGATGATTTAACCTGTTGAAGTTTTTTTTTTTATTTTGTACATTTTTCATTGACGAAGATTTGAATATTTTTTTTTCATTTTCTACTATCCATTGTCAACACCGTTGTTGTATATCGAAACCATTCATCATTTGAATCAATCATTCAAGCTACCATGGTCGTCGTTGATTTTTAAAATGTGAAACATTGTAAAAAAATGATGATGATGATGATTATGATGTTAATGTCATTGTAAATAACGCGTAGGATGATCTGGAATTTGGCCAACAATTCATTCATTTATTTGAATGTCGATCAACAAATTTAGAACAAAATGTGATTGTGTTTGAAGAATTTATTCAATTTGTTTTTCGTCTAATTTCGTTTTTCTTGTGTTTTTGGACATCATTTTTCATGGCATCATCAGCAATAAAATGCCATTTTACAATAGAAATAATTTTCTTCAATATTGGTGGTCATCACATTTGACCATAATTGTGATAATAATTTTTGTGTACATTACTTCATTTATTGATTCGATTACAATTGATAATGATCAAAATTCTGGCTCATCACCATTGAAATCATCTGAGATTCTTGGAAGAATCAACAGGAAGAATATATCTTGAAAATGGGATGAATGATCCATTATCGATTGTGAATGATATTCGACAACAACAGTCGACCATAACAACCATTACATCAATGACAACAACTTCAATGCCTCATACATCACCATTACCACATTCAAAATCGAATGATGATAATCTAAATCAATCTCAAATATCTGTACATATCTATTTGATTTTTCATTGGTTTCTGTGCCAACTTGTATCGGTGCATTGGCTTGGTGTGGAATGCATAATCGATGTTGTAGAAATCCATTCATCAATAAAAACGATGAATGTTCGCCAAATCAAACATTTGATTATGAACAATATGGTAATCATAATTGCCGTCGCAATAATAACGGTGATCACAATAATAATAATAATAATAACAATTTTCAAGATTGTAACAAACGTTATAATCAGAAAAATATTACTCTGAATAATTTAATCAATGTAAGACGATCAAATGGTATTGTACGTAGTCGTCCAGTGCATTCTAATTACGAAGTTCCAAGAAATTCTCTAGAAATGTTAGAAATTCTTGGTGAAGGAAATTTCGGACAAGTATGGAAAGCACGTAGTCATTATTTTGGCAATAAAGATAATAATAATATACAGCTTGTTGCGGTTAAAACGAATAAATGTTTGTTTGAAAAAAATATGTTGCATATTCAAAGGTCATCTCTTTCTAAATATTATTTTGTTTTTCTATTTTTTTTCCATTTTTGTTTTGCCAATCATCTATCAAGTGATGGAAAACAACAGTGAACAACAGGATGATTTATTGAAAGAATTAGACATCATGGTACAATTGGGATCACATCCAAATGTTGTCCGTTTACTAGGTTGTTGTACAGAAAACAGTAAGTGTATGGATGAGAACAATTTGACGATCAACATCAGACTATTAATCAAATTATAATTTGAATTTTTTTTTACAAATACAAAAAAAAGAGCCATATTACATTGTGATGGAATTTGTAGCGCAAGGAAAATTATTATCATATCTACGAAAACGTCGGGATGATTATCTGGATGTCATCAATGATTATAATTCAACAGCAGCAGCAGCAGCAGCAACAACAGCAGCAGTTTCTAAATCTTTGACGACTACGGCACAACATTATAATAATCAACATCAACATACAAATCCAAATTCAAATGGGCCATTTATCAACAATAATAATTACATGACTTATTATCATCAAACAAATAATAACAATAATAATGGTTATGGTGAGATTAATCGTAAATCGTTTTCAAAACCAATGAATAAACATTCACAACAAAATATAAATGATCAATCATTGTCATCTTATGATTTGATTCATTTTGCCTATCAAATTTCGAAAGGAATGGAATTCATAAGTAGTCATGGAGTGAGTTCAAATCGAATTACAATTTTTTTTTATCTCTACACATTCGTTATTAATTATTGTTTATTCAATTCATTCATAAAATAGATTATACATCGTGATTTAGCCGTTCGTAACATATTGATTGATGAGAATAAAAATTGTAAAGTGGCCGATTTTGGTCTTAGTCGAAGTATACGTGATAAAGATTGCGATATGTATGAAATGAAACATGGTGGCCAAGTTCCAGTCCGTTGGATGAGTCCAGAGGCATTGACAATGGGAATATTTTCAATAAAAAAGTGATGTATGGGCATTTGGCATTACGTTATGGGAGATTGTTACATTAGGATCGACGCCATATATCGGTATGAGTGCACCTGAAGTTATTAACTACATTAGACAAGGCAATATCTGTTCACAACCAGTACATTGTAATGATCATTTGTATGATCTCATGAAAAGCTGTTGGGCATATAAAGCAGATGATCGATTTACATTCACACAAATCAAATATCATCTAATGAAGATGTTGTTGGCCATTCAAGAAAACAATAATAATAAAGACAATTATATTGATCTGGATAATTTTAATAATTCATTATATTATTTCAATACAACTGATCCATCGGATGAAAAACTTTGAACATCATATATGATTGTTGTAAAAAATATATTTTTTTATTAATTCATTTTATGTACATAAAATTTTAAATAAATAAAACAATGATGATGATCATGAAAATCATTTGAAAATATTTTCTAATAATTCTTCATCAAGTTCATTTGGATTTGGTTTTTGTTGTCGTATTTGTTCATCAGTCACTCGTTGTTTATATGTTCGATTATTATCATTATAAATGGCTCTTTTATGTTGACTACGTTCAATCATTTCAGCATAGAATGTTGCTTCACGTTTAGCACGGCCAATTTCCAGGCGAAGTTTTTGATCCCTTAAAGCTTTTTCATAAGCCATTTGTTCAGCTAAATGGCTCCATTTAAATCGTTTAAGATATTTCATATTCCATAATGCATCATGAAATTTTGTATGACGTTTACCACCAATCTGTTTTCCATTCAATGTATTCGCAACCAATTTAGCAACACTTTTCTTTTTGAATTCTATCCATCCTTCAGTATAACGATAAATTTTCTTCGAACGTTTTTGTGATTTTTTCAGTGATGAATCTTTTTCCAGATAGATTCGTTCAATTTCGCCATGTTTGGACAGTATTTGACGGATATTTTTTACAGTAATTCCTTCTGGAATATAGCTTAGATATACGATTCCTCTTTTACAAGATTTAGGCTTCGTAATGTTTATGACTTTTGTTGTTTTTCTGTTGACTTTTGACGAGAGCATCTCACTGAATTATCGCTATTCTCTACTAAATCTGAATTTCGATTAGAAAGGAAAAATTCTTTATCAATTACTTACCTTGAGATTGAGATTCGATTACCAAATTATCGTTGGAAGGCTCAGAATCCATGGTTTTCAATATTGCAAACATGAAAAAATCTCATGTGAAGGTCGTGGACCACGTCAGAAATTCTGCATTCTTCATAAAGTACGTCCGAAAACAACAGGTCGATTTTTGGCAAAAATTCTTTATTTTGTAAATTTAATTATTTTTCGACATTTAAATCATTACAATGATTAAATTAAGAGTATTTAAATCCATTAAATCAAGAAATGAAACGAGAATTCATTTTTGTCGCCAAGTGTTTTCAAAATTATGTCTTCGATTGCGACCAACAAAAATGGTAAAACAGAAAGTCCATCAAAATTACATCATGTTAATATTGATGAGCATTTGATGACCATCAATGAAGTTGCCGCAAGATATGGAACCGATTTGAATCATGGACTAACCAGCGAACAGGTTCGAGAAAAATCTCAACAAAATGGCCTAAATCAATTAACACCACCGAAGAAAACTCCAGAAATAATTAAATTTGTAAAACTCATGTTTAGTGGATTCTCAATGTTATTATGGGTTGGGGCCGCATTGTGCATTATATCCTACTTTATTACTGAAGATCAAGAAACAGTAAAATTAATGATCATTTTAGAAATTTATTTAATGAATGAATATTTTATTGTCGCAGCTTTATCTTGGAATCGCTTTGATTGTCGTTGTTGTCATAACTGGGGCGTTTGCATATTATCAAGAATCCAAATCATCAGCTATTATGGAATCATTTAAAGGGCTTATTCCGCATGTAGCACATGTAATTCGTGATGGTAAATTATTAGAAATTGATTCGAAAAAATTGTACTCGGTGATATTATTGAAGTTGTCGGTGGCAATCAAGTTACCGCCGACATTAGAATAATCAGAAGCATATGGTTGCCAATTTGATAATTCCTCTATAACTGGTGAAAGTGAACCACAACATCGTACAGCTGATTTGAAACAGAAAATGAAAATCCATTAGAAGCTGAAAATCTTGCATTCTTTTCTTCATACTGTACTGAAGGACGTGCTCGTGGTATTGCTATTCGAATCGGTGATCAAACTGTCATTGGAAAGATTGCCACTTTAACTCATCAACAAGAAAGTCAAACATCGATTGGAAGAGAAATCAATAGATTTATCAAAATTATTACCATTTTGCACCATTTTTGGGATTGAACTTTTATTGCTATCACTTATAATGGGATATAGTTTTATAAATGCTATAATCTTTTTATCGGAATCATTATTTGCAAACGTTCCCGAAGGATTATTAGCAACAGTTACTGTTTGTCTAACGCTTACGGCTAAATCTCTTAGTAAAAATTGTCTGGTCAAGAATCTTGAAGCTGTGGAAACATTAGGTTCAACATCGATTATTTGTTCGGATAAAACCGGCACATTGACACAGAATAAGATGCATGTTTCGCATATTTGGTTCAACAATAAAGTAATCGAACCATTGTTGGCCAATACAATGCATAGCCTTAAACAATTATTGAGTGAAAAATCGATTCCAAGATTTTCTTCGAGTTACAGCCCTTTGCAGCAAAGCAGAACACGAAAATGATTCCAATCATAAAAGTAAGTAAATTGGAAGCAATAATAAATGTTTAAAGTTTTATTCTTATTCATATTTTTTCAGAATCTATCGTGGTGATGCTTCCGAAGTAGCCTTCTTGAAATTACCATTTCTGACAAAATAGGAATTAATATTACAAAGATTCGTCAATCGGCATCCGATTGTTCATGAGATACCGTTTAATTCTACCAATAAATTTCATATTACCGTCCATGATATTAGCCAATATGAACCACATGCTAAGCATAAATATTTGATTTGTTTAAAAGGTGCACCGGAAATTGTTCTGAAACTTTGCCGATCAATATTGTTACAAGGACAATGTTTGAAATTAGAAACGGAAACTAAACAGGATCTCAACAATGTTTGCACATTTTCGCTTCAATGGGTGAACGTGTATGGGCATTTTCCGAATATTATACAAATGACTATCATTCTCTTCTGGATACTAAAGATGATGGAAAAACATTGAACGATAAAGTTATTGCTGAAACAAAATTTACATTATTGGGTGTTATGTCATTGATTGATCCGCCTAGGCCAGAAGTTCCGGACGCAGTTGAAAAATGTCGTCAAGCTGGAATACGAGTTTTTATGGTGACTGGTGATCATCCGATTACGGCTAAAGCAATCGCCAAACAAGTTGGAATCATTTCACAAAATGATGAAAATATTACTATTCTTAGCGATGATATATTGAAAAGAATTTTGTCCAATTCAAAATCCAATTCGACAAAACAAGACGACGAACAAGAGCAGACGATAGAATATGAGGAAAAATCCATTGTAATACCAGGTTGGATTCTCAATCAATTCACCAATGATCAATTGGATCATCTAGTGGAACATTATCGAGAGATAGTTTTTGCTCGAACAAGTCCACAGCAAAAACTTTTAATCGTTGATAGTTGTCAACGATTAGGTCATATTGTAGCTATGACCGGTGATGGTGTTAATGATTCACCGGCATTGAAAAAAGCCAATATTGGTATATCGATGGGAATCAATGGATCAGATGTGTCCAAAGAAGCAGCCGATATGGTATTAATGGATGATAATTTTGCATCGATTGTCGTTGGTATTGAAGAAGGTCGAGTGATTTTTGACAATCTTAAAAAATCTATTTCCTATGTAATGGCTTCGAATTTCTCTGAAATTGTTCCATTTATATTCTACGTTTTGTTTGGATTTCCATTAGCACTTGGAACTATAACGATACTTTGCATTGATCTTGGTACGGACATATTTCCTTCGATTTCATTGGCTTATGAGAAAGCTGAATCAGATATAATGAAACGAAAACCACGAAATCCTAAAGTTGATCATCTTGTCACTGGGAAATTGATTCATCGATCCTATTTTCAGCTCGGTATGATACAAGCAGCTGCTGGATTTTTTACCTATTTCTGTGTCATGGCCGATCATGGATTCTACATCACACAACTGTATCATCTTCGTGAATATTGGGATGATAAGAATTATCTTATTATCGATATATATAACCAAGAATGGGTATGTTTGAATGATAATAAAATAAACAAGTTTTTCCTGATGATAATCTTAAATTATCTCTTCCTCCCAAAAAAAATTAGACTTATAAGAAACGAAAAATTCTCGAATATACCTGTCAAACTTCATTCTTTGTATCGATTGTTGTTTGTCAATGGATGGATCTTATTATTTGTAAAACACGTGTTAATTCCATTCTTCAACAAGGAATGAGCAATCATGTATTGAATATGAGTTTGATTGTCGAAACGATTATCGCTCTATTTCTTGTATATTGTCCTGGTATCGAAAAAATTTTAAAACTTTATCCACTCAAGTAAACAACATTGCATTTCTATAAATGAAATCCCGATTAATCGTTTTTTCTTTCTTTTCATTTTATTTCCTCTTCAGATGGTGGTATGGTTGGTTTACGGCGATTCCATTCACCATTTACATGTTTACATATGATGAAATACGACGTTGGTTCATACGAAAACGTCCGATGGGATTTTTTGCTCAAGAAACATGTCAATAATTGATGAATTTCAAATTTTTAGCTCGTTCGTTTTTGAAATTCGTAAAAATGATGATGGCCGGGAGAAAAGGATAATAACAATACTAAATTCGAATGTATGAAGAAAAATTGGAAATAATTTAATTCGAAAAAAATGGGACCATATTTTCAATAATAATAAAATTTTATTAATAAATCCCAAGTAAACAAATAGATGCCGCTAAAAGCATTCTTTTACTAAAAAATAGTTCCTAGTTTTTGCCCATTACCAATCATCATCATCATCATTCACCTTATTATGTGAATGGTATAGAGAAAATAAAAATCCAAAACACAGACTTTATTGATTAAATCTAAAATCGATTCCTTGTTTTGATTTCATTCAAGAGTGGTCGTTTGAAAGACAGCCAATAATTATCACAGTAACCACCTAGATGTGAATCATCCATCGACAAATGACGAAAAACAAAAACAATTGAACCGGGGAAAAAAATATCCAAACCAATTACCTTTTTTAGCATTCGACATTTCCACAACGATTTTGATGAAAATGAACGAATTATAACCACCACCACCTCCTCCTATTACAACGTCAGAAATCAAGTGTGGATTGTATTTTGCGTGTCCTTTGTTATCATTTTTGGTACGTGAGTTTGTCAATAGTGCATGTGGTTA